ATGACATGCATTTATGTCTATATAGGTCAATCTCACAGAGCACACATCTGTGACAATAGACAAAATAAGGGAAAAAATTTATGGAAATTTTTTATTTTAATAATTGTATCTATCTGTCTGTCTGTCTGGTGCTTGGATGCATATTTTACTTCCATTTACTCTTTATTTATCTGTGTATTTATTTTTATTTATTAGACAGGCTTCATGATATTCACTTGACAGTTTACTTGTGCTGAATTCATTATGCATGTTAATTTTTTTCTTTGCCTTTTCTGGTTTACTCATCATGTGTACAGGTGCATGACACACCTGTACACTAGGGCTGTGACGATAAATCGATGCATAGAAGCAGAGCCCCATGTGCTGGATTCCTGAACCCCCGACACACACACACACACACAACCATTCCCTTGCCATAAGCCACTCAGACAGGGATCTGGTTTCATGGTAAATTTTATTACACATGGATGTAAGGGGCTCCTACAATTAGGGAGGGCTTCTTAACAGGGTCTTGCTTATCCATCTGCTTGTTAGCCTGCAAGCTTGAACGTTTCGTTCTCCCATTTTACATTCCTTCCCAACCTCCCCTTTTCTCCCCGTGTCCAGTACCTTCCATTCCAATTCGAGCCTGCTTTCTCCACCACCATCTCATCTGTCTTCCAGCACCGGCCACCATTCCTTTCTTCTTTGCTTTATGGCTCACATATGAGCTGTTAGGTTCGGAGTGTGCCTCCCTGTTCCGTAGCCATCTGGGATCGGCTTTTCAGAACCCCTCCAGCCCTTTGAGGAGATCCGGTTTCAATGAATGCTCACCCGCACCTCCCTCTTTCCTCACGTATATACACAAACACCTCCCTGTGGATCCCTTGACATCTTTGAGATTCCTTCCTCCTTGCCTTCCATTGTCCGTGTTTTTGAAGGCACGTCTGTGGATTGCGTGAAGTTCGGATGTTCTGCCAAAGTAAATCCAGGAGGTCTAGTGGCTCCTACTAATGTAGGGTACATGATGTCATTGGCTAGATCATCGACAAGGGTCGAAGGGCACACATGTACATCTGTAGCAATTTGTCTCCTCTGTCTCGTTCTCCCCTCCGGTGCGAGTTTATCTCCTGGCGGAGGGCCTCTTCCGCTTGGAGAGTGGCAACTGTATAACACCCCTCACCTGTTTTCAAAACAAAGACGTGAGTTCGAGCATTTTTGAAAATCATCTCCTTGTTTTCATTCTCAGTAAGTTAGAGCGGTTCAGCTTGGGGGGGGCGGGGTCTGTGGGGGTAGAGGGAACTCTGCATAGTGATGTTTAAGTAACTGTGGCATGTTTTAGGAAAATTATGGCAGATTTGCAGTATTGCCTCATAAATCATTTTATTAACCCTGTGAAGGTTCCTCAGTTTGACTGAATGAAAAATGATACACTTTCTTTCTGACTGTGGAACCCAAACGGAGATGTTTGGAAGAATATTCACGTCGCTTTTTTCTGTACTTGCTGTCAAGTTTGAAAAAGCCCTACAAAATGAGTCCAAAGAACTATAATACAAGTCTTCTGAAATCATTCAATAACTTTGTGTAAGGAGAAGACTGAATTCCAAAGGCTCATCATAAAATCATTTCGTTCCAAACCTGTATGACTTACTTTTTCTATGGAACACAAGAAAAGCATTTCTTGATGTCTTTGTTTTTTGGGTTTTGAACCCTGTTGACTTTCATTGTGTGGACAAACGTCCCTCAAAATATCTTCTTTTGCATTCTGCAGAAGAAAGAAAGTCATACAGCTTTGGAACGCCATGAAGGTGAGTGAATGTTTTGGTTGAGCTGTTCCTTGAGTCAGTCACAATGTCAAAAAACAAGATTGCGCCCCAGTGCACATATACACACACTTGTTCGATTGTACAGACCTATGAGCAAAAATTTCCCCAGTGCAGTTCAATAAACAATTTATGAGTCCCTGCGCCCCACTAAACTCGGTCGGTATCGAAAACCACATCACTCGTGAGCCGGCAAATAAGCAAATACCACCTCCCCCTCGTTCTCGTTCTCTCTTTTGCTTTGCAAATGAGTTTCTCGCTCTCCAGCGGCCAGAGTCATCTGTAGGTGCTCTGTGGCCCCCAAACCCTGAAATCTTACAGCTTTAAGGCAAACTGTTTGTTTTTACTGTTTTTTTTAGTTTTTTTTTAGTACACGTTTCTTTTTTCCGATTTTTCAGGAGAGGAAATGAACGATGCATGTTCACGCTGGGAAAGCCATGTATGCCTAATGTTAGCAGAGTTGACTGAATCATTTTCCCCTCCTCTTCTACATTTGATAACGTTTATGTTTTCTGTAGGTCTGTACCAGGATTTACATGCTACAAGCTGGAGAGCTTAAGCCTGACTTTCCGAACCCGCGCCCTGAATCCTTCGCACTAACCCACTGAGCATGTGGAACAAATTGTCTCGAATGGGGTATTTTCTTCCTCATGAGGTAGTGACAGCTGATCTAAAATGTTGCGTTTTTTTCCAGGGGCTATAATGGCTCCCCCTTGTAGCGTCTCGGGCTCCGGCCGCCTCCATGTTGACTGCTGCCTTCTGTGGGGCAGAGTGAAAAACTAAGAGGTTGTTGAGTACAAGGTGTCTAAAAGCTGCTCAGAGGTTGTTTGTTCAACATTTTTATTTAACCTCTGACTAAGTGGCTTGTTAACAGGTAAAGATCGAGTCGTGCCTACACAAGAAATCGAGGCAACCAGAGGCATCGTGCCTTGTGGGTATAATGTTGATGTCTGTTTTCTGTGTGTTTTCTCATGTCGTTTCAAACGTATATGACTTTGTTTCTTCTGTTGAGCACAGGATAAGATGTTTTGAAGAATGTTTCAATTGTTTTGTTCATATAATTAAAGTCAGTGGGGTCCAAAAGAACATTGAACCCCTTTGACTTTCATAATATGATCAAAAAAGCATTTAAATTTCACCCAAAAATGTCATTCTTATGTTGAACACACACACACAAAAAAGAAAAAGAACCAAACAGTTGTTGGTCCCCATTGACTTACTAGGAAATACTAGAAATACTATGAAAGTCAATGGGGACCATCAACTGTTTGATTGCCAGCATTCTTCAAAATATTTTCTTTTGTGTTTAACAGAAGAAAGAAACTCTTACAGGTTAGGAACAACATGAGGAATGACAATACGTTTTATTTTTGGGTGAACTATCTGTTTAAAAAAATCTGTTGTTCCACCTAGTAAAGCATGAGGTACAGGTTTAGAATGTCATGAGGTTGCATATTTGATGACACAATTTTAATTTTAGTGTGGGCTATCCCTTTAAGACACTAATTCTTACCTAGGCCACTTGTGTTGACATAATTCCGACCCAAACATGCACAACGGCTGGTTTATCTGGCCCATTGAAACCCACAGCCGCCCGGTGGTTGGTTAACATTATGTTTATTACTGTAACAGAGGGGAGGATAGGAGAGAAAAATTGGGAGTGCGGGAGGTGGAGGGAAGAGGGTGAGAAAACCAAACAGAAGGAGCCCAACCATCACATTCTGGTCAGGAAGCAGCCGGGAAACAAGCCGAAGAATCCAGAAGGGCAGGGTGTGGGTCCGCTTTCGTTCGAACGTAATGTCTTATTGATTAATTTCAGCGCTGTGTGGTGGTGGAGTCAATTGTGATGGTGGGCTTGCCAAAAGTAATCATGTGCGTTTTTCCTTACTCCTGCCATAGATGTTGATTCAAATTAGCTTTATTTTAATGAAAAATGTGAATGATGTCTGGTATGACTTCACTGCATTGATCCCAACTCATTTGCAGAGATATTTCACCCAAAAATGACATTGCTTTTATCATTGACACAACCTCATGTTCCAAATGTCAATTTCTAAAGTAAAACTAAACAAAATGAGAAGTTGTGAAGAATGTTCATGCTGCTCTTTTGCATAAATTGGAAGCAGTATTGTGACCACTCTAAACATCATAGCAATCACATAAAAAACAAAAAACACTCTGAATAGAGGTGGTCAAGCTCTAAAAAAGCAAGTAGCTTAAAAGTGATCCAAACAACTTATGTTAAATTCTAAGCCATACATAAGCTTTGTGTGAGTAGGAGACCAAAAAGTAACTGAAACTGTAACTGAAAAGTAACTGGACTTGTCGTCTGTCCCCAAATGCCATTAACTTTTGCGTATATTCAGCTGGTTCTCTTCATACAAAAGTGTGAATAGCCTTTAAAAGCTACAGCAGGGTAAATGATGACAGTTTTAATTTTGGTGAATTAAAACCATAAACTAAAGAAAAAAAGGTCTTCAAAATAAGATCTAAGAAAGCATTTTTTGCACAAATGGTCCGGTGGGTATTTGTAAATGTTGCATGCTGGATTCAAACTCATGCTGCCCACACGAGCACCACAGCTTAATGTGTCAAAGCATGTACGCTCAGCCTCGTCTCCTACAAATTAGTGCATTTCTAATCTAAGAGGTGTGCAGACACAGAAACCTTGGGGCGCTTGTTAAATCTGTGCAATGGTTTGAGCATGTGGAGGCTTGAATCTGTATCAAGCAGGGAGGTGAGTGTGCATATGTTGTTTATATTTGAGAGAAGCTGGTGTTTTGTTCTCTATTCTCTACATCTCGGCTCTTCTCTCACTGTCTCTGTTATTGCTTTTTCACACCCTTCTCCTCTGGGTTTAAAAGATCTCCGTCGCTCGCTTTCCCCCTCCTCGCTCAAATCCATTCCAGCTGAAACTTGCGTGAATACGCTGTGATCCCCCTCTCGCTGTAGGGCTCGAAGTAATACTCTGTCTATCAAAACGAATATCAGAATCACTTCTTATAATGCTTGTAATTGAATTCATACAGATAAAATTTCCACTCCTAACAGCATGGGCTGAGATGGAGATTTGATAACTCAAGCCCCAAGACTACCAGGCTTAGAGTCAGACTGGGCTCATTTCGAAATGATGGGGGGAAAGTGTGTCTGTACGTGTGTGTTTTGGCTGTAGTTTACAATGAGCTGTATCTTTTACAGACGCAGAACCGTATGAAGTTAATGGCTGATAACTACGAGGATGACCACCTCAAGGCCTCGAATTCTGACCAGACCAATCACAAACCCTCTCCGGATCAGGTGAGCCAATCAGACTACACCTTACAGAACCACTTTGTTAGTTCTTTATCCTTTATTTCTTCAATAGGTTTTACTGATTGATCATACTTAGGGTTAGTGATTTAAACAAACCCTTAACCCTAAACTTAAGTCCCATGCCATTTGTGCTAAGAATATGAGATCTTCTTTATGCACCAAGAGCTTGTAACACTCCAAAGAGAAAGGAAAAATTGAAATCGCATCATATGACCCCTTTAAATTCTGTATTCCGAAGTGAATGGACTTAACTTTCACATCACCATAAAATGGGTTAAAAAAAACGTACACTGAAATGTACACCTTTTTTTTTTTTCTTTCTTTCTTTCTTTCTTTCTTACTCATTCTACCATCCGATTTACCCCTAAAGGCTGTATCCTGATTTATAAAAAAGCCATTATAACCAAACATAAACAACAGGAAATTACATATTTCATATCCAATAAGGCACAGCATCCTCAGCTCCAATTTGTGTATTATTTCATATCGGGTCACCAAAAGAAAAAAAAAAGCTCACGTTTTCTCATCCATGAATGTGCGCGCGCGCACACATCCCTGAGTGTTTTTCTTGGAATAGTTCCGGCACACAGGATGATTCTGGAAGATTTAACTGGCTTTGTTCTTTGTTGCTTTTAAACGTTGAATTCCTTCGCCTTAAGCCTCTCTCTTCTGGATGGCTGTCCAACAGGAATTAGTTCATAAGGAGAGAAAGAGGAAAGAATTGACATGATAAAGTATGAATAGAGAGTGAAATTCAAAGAGAAAGGACAGCCTGTTGCATTCTTCTGTCCCAGCTCTCCCAGGAAGCACAAATCCTACTGGTTGTTATGACATGACTTGATTCGCTAAACGCAGTGTGTCATACCTGTCCTGGGACTCCTGGTGTAATCCAGTTCAAGTGCTACAATCCTAATTCACGTGCTGAAAGAAACCCATCAATCAGCAACACTCCACCCTCAACACATATCCCGGTATTCCCAACCACATATATGTGTGTATGTATGTTAGAGCTCATTGGAACTCCATCTACACACTCAGTCTCCCACGCACACACAGAAATCTGCTATAAAGCTATCCCAGGGTCTCTCCCCCATCGCAAACCCCTTTCATTGTCTTTCTTGATTGCCAAGAAAACACTTAGCTCACATTTTCCTGTGATCTTCATTTCTCACTTACATATTTCCAACTCAAATAAGAACACCCCCACACATCAACACCTGAGCCCACTCCAAACCTCCCCGATTGCACTGTTATCACCTAAACATGCCGACTGCAGAGCTGGTACCGACAGGGACCTCAGACGGCATTCATTGCAGGTATTTTCCACAGCCATCCAGGACAGACGGGGTAGAGGCCACGTGTGTTACTCATTTCAAGCTCATACTGCTATGGTTTCAATTCTTGTTGCAGCATAGCCACCCCCTTTTTTGGGCGAAGCCAGTTGCTTTTAATGCTGTTTCACTTTGGTTCAATGGCTAACTAATCACCCTTAACCCTCTGTTGAGAGATGGAGAAATTAATGGGAACGTAGTGTCTTACTCTTATTTATGACATTCAGTTTTTTTTTTCACTCCATGGGAAAAACTCACTGCTGCTCCAGTGTTTGTCAAAGGGAAAATTAGTCACTTAACATGAAATTTCAGTGCAATAAATGACCTGCTCTCACCCACTAATAACTTCTTTCTTTAATCCCATGCTGCCTTGGATTAAACCTGCACTCATTTTCCACCAATAGGACGATGAGGAGGGCATTTGGGCATAGCCAATCACGTGCCCTCTCCCAGCCATTTTGTTCAGAAGGGTGAGAAATGTATAAATGGGGAATGATGCTCTTCTTCTGTATTTCATCGTGTGTTAACTGTCTTTGAGTGTGCTTATTTTTTTCTTCTCCTACACTTTCCAGTTCATCCTTTCACTTCTTTCTTCTTTTGGTCTTTTTTTCCCTCTCTCATTGTTCTCATGTCCTGTGATTTTCTTTCATTCTATCTGTTTCTTGTCTGCCTCATTTCAGCATATATATTGGTGCTGATTATTTAATCATTTTTAAATATGACTTGCAGATATCATTCACAGAACAGGTTGTCCGAATGTAAAGTGACGCATGTCAAACGTTTTTCCTTGCATTTTTTTTCCTCCCACATTTTCCCATTATCCCCACAAAAATAGGTCACGATCTGTTCTGATTTGGTCAGCAAGGAAGAATAATGTTAAATACCAACAATAAACTGAAAACAAAAATCAAATATAAAATAAAAATACCAGAAGCATTTGTATTTAGTACATTTCATTTATTTATTTTATTTAACATTAAATTACATAAAAGGCTGCAGAGGCTTTTGTATTTTTATTTTTGTATTTTTTATAATCTATGTATTCATTTTTTTAAATGTATTATTCCAAAAAAATATTTTTTTTTAACTATTAATTTTTCTTGGTGTTCAGGACCAAATCAGAAAAGACCTGTATGTTGTGTTTACAAAATTTACATATTTGTCACATCTATTATCGTAATTTTATTGTCTGGCCATTGCAGTTCTTTCTAATATAAATACATTTAAATGCTTCATTTATAAGACCATTTTAGCTTTGTATGATAAACAATTTTGGTGATGGGTTGCCACTTCTAATATAAAATCTCGGTCCTAAAGCCAAACTAGCTAAGAAGTACTGGTTTGCATAGTGTTTTTATGAATAAATCACTGTAGCTTAATACTTTAAAATCACTTTTGATTTCGATAAATGACTCAAGCAGCTATTGAATTGACATATCCTTTCCCATCCCTTGTTGAACATCTGTTCGGGATTTCTGTCACGCAGAGGGTTGAATCCTTCCCTCCACCTTTATTATTTTTCACAGACAGCCAAGGAACAAATCGACCCGTCTGCCTTTTTGACTGCTCTGGTCTTTTCCTGTCTTTTCCCTCCAAAAAAACAACAACATTCTCATATTTGCTTCCACACTGACAGTTTTGATGGATGGTTTTGAGGAAACAGATTGACCGTAGAATACATATGAGCTGCACATGTTCAATCCATAGGACACATGCGCAACCGCTCAGTGAGAGAACCCATCAGAGCCGTTGCCCCATGCCCACGGTGATGCTAAATGCCATGTGGCGTTTTGACTGTAATTAATTAGCAGGTCGCTCCCCATCGATGCAGCCCGCAGATAACACATGTCCGTCGCATGAACAGTCGCACGCGGTAAAGCGCATATACTGCGAGTGCAATTAGGCGCAACGGAGCGCTGGAGAACAGAGTGGAATTGTGTGAGCTGTGGGCCGAGTGTCTCAGCAGTGTGAAGGGAGGGTTTTAATCCGAACAGCTGCCCACATACACTGAGTCCTATTTCAGGCAACTAATGGGCCCCTTTCGCTAATGTTTTTGCTTCGTTCGCAGTTCTTAACGTCTGAGCCGCCACGATACATTTCAAGGAAGAATTCCGATCGTCCACTGCACCCACGGTGCCAAACTGTACATGTAGCCGTGACATTAAAGTTGCTCTTTGTGTATCATATGACCATGTAAAACTTGTAATGGCATTTAGCAGGGGAGATCAAGACCCCAAGGCCCCTGAATATATGCTCACATAAAGGGCAGCCGTGTTCTCCAAAGCGTGTTCTCGGGGCAAGGAACTGCAGTCGCACGTACAAGCGCATGATTAGAGAGGGTAATAATCTCAACATGACTCTGATCTCCTTCATGTTGAATTGTGGGTGGTCGAGGATTATTTAATTGCTCGCCGTTTGGCACGATAACCCACCGCAACCCTGGAATCGGTTTCGGCTATGATGAAACGCAGTCCGTTTTAATCTGACTGTGTGGTGCATTGCTAGGTGTGTATTTACAGATGCTCTCTGGCCCTTGACTCTGTTTTGTGTTGTTCTTTAGGGCTTTGCATTTTCTCCTGCGGCTTTGTGGATAATTGATGCATGTCTGCTTTTGTTGTCCTCTTCCATCATTCTAGTGTCACTGTGTGATGATGTGTGTGGTTTTTCAGTGTTCCGGAGTTCTGGAAATTAACACCCATGAGTGAGGGAGCTTGAAACTTTCAGAGTTATTCCTGTTTCACTAACAGAATATTTGTAAGCTCTGCCTTCAGGTACTGTAAATGTCAAGACGGACTTAGCTTCAAATGTCAGGAGGACTGACAGAGCAGTAGTCCAGACCTTTTGAAGTAACTTGTCTTCTTGTCTGTTTGTCCTCTTGAATTGATTTTGAAAAGATTGCTTGTCAGTCTGAGCCTGGATGTCTGAAGGAAGTGGGGGAAACGTGATGTCCACCACAAAATTGACTGTATCATAGGGCTGAAACAATTTCTCGAGTAACTCGAATACAAAAAATGATCGAGGCTTCGTTTAGTCCATTTACTGCAACTACACACGGAACACTGTGTTTCCCCACGGATCATTATTACTGACGCACAACCCGATATATGGTGGCTAGTTATGATGTCCCTAAGTTAGCTATGTTTTGTGAAAGACTAAGCACAATTCATGTTGATTGTCTTATTCTCTCTCTGTGACACACACAAACACACACTAACTCACTTATTAACAGTGACTTGCTACTGTCACCTACTGGCGGTTTTAATTTCACATTTAAAGTATCTTTTAATTTTTAAAATGGTTGTAAATATCAGTATTCAATATTTCATGTTTAAAATAATTTTGTTGATACTGATATCATTTGTTTGGTAACAGCCCAAATGTCTTATTATTCTAATTGACTGATAAAATGTAAGAATTTGATTTATAAGATGATGCACACTTTTAAGGAAAAAAAAAGGCTTTATAAAGGTAAAAATGCCCATAAAATGTAAACATTTATTTAAACTTATTGGAACAGATTAATTTCTATCACTGCTGTGAACTGACCAGTACACAGAATATGAAGGATATCAAAAACAAGTTTTACACACACACCAGTATGTAGAGAGACATTTAAGAGGGTTTATTCTCCAAATAACTTAATTTCATGTTGCA